CTCCTCTCGCACTCAGCGAATTTTTTTGAGGTGTAGGTGCAGGGTTGTAGGATCCCACTCTGGTTCTTTTGCAATAACACAGCTCCAACGGCCACATCGCTGGCATTGGCCTGAATCACAAAGGGCTTCCCTAGGCAAGGATGCTTTAAAACTGGTTTGACTGCAAATAGCCTTTTTAAATTCTCAAAAGCGGTTTGACAGTTCATAGTCAATGCTAATGGTTGGCCCAGACATGGCTTTCCTCTCTCCTTGCCTGTTTTCAGTAATTTCATTAGGGGTTAGGCAATTTCAGCAAAGGAGGGGAGAACTAGCGATAGAAGTTGGTGAATCCCAGAAAGCTCTGGAGTTGTTTGCGAGTCTTTGGGGTCTGCCATTCAACTACGGTCGGGCCCATTTCAATGCCTTCACTGGAAATTCTGTAGCCAAGATAATCTAGTTGGGTCTGGTGAAACTCACACTTTGATAGTTTAACATAAAGTTTGGCATTCAACAGTTTCTTTAGCACTTCTCTCACTAGTTTTACATGGTCACCCATATTAGTGCTGTATATCAGGATGTCATAAAGATACACCAAAACCCCTTTGTATAAATGGTCATGTAGTACCTGATTGATCAGCTGCGTAAAGTAAGCTGGAGCCCCCTGTAGTTCAAGAACTTTAAATTGGTAGCTCCCCATGGGACAGTTAAAGGCAGTCTTCCACTCATCTCCCTCCTTTATCTTCATCCAGTAATATGCCTCTCTCAAGTCCAACTTAGTGAAGACACTCTCCTTTGCCAGGTGGGTTAGTAAGTCCTTCAGGAGGGGGAGGGGGTATTTGATTTCCACGTTCACAGTGTTCAGACCTTTATAATCCATGCAGAGACAAAGCGACCCGTCTTTTTTTTCTTTAAATAATACCGAGGCTCCCACGGCAGACTTGGCCCGTTTGATAAATCCCCTTGCTAGGTTCTTGTCCACATACTGCTGCATCTCCTCCATTTCAAGGGGGGACATAGCATACATTCTCGGCTGTGGGAGTTTGGCTCCCGGTAACAGTTCGATAGAGCAATCATTAGGTCGGTGGGGAGGCAGGGTGTCACATTCTTTCTCACTAAACACCTCCACTAGGTCCTGGTACTCGTTGGGGATGAGTGGCTCACCTGGTTGAGACAAGGCAGTTATTTGCGCTATCTCATTGGGTGGGATAAGTTCTCCTGTAACGTATGAGTTAAGAGGGGGGCTTGGGTCCTACAGGTAACCTCACAGTCCTCATTCCCTTCTCCCACCAGATAAACGGCTTCCATTTGTCTAACCAGGCTAGCCCTAGGATCACAGCTTCAGTCATTTTCAGAGCCACCATGAAATGAATGAACTCCCAGTGCTCACCTATTTCTAAGCATAGGGGTTCAGTCAATTGCATGACTAAAGTTCCTCCCATTAGAGAGCCATCGGCTTGCTCAAACCTCACAGGTTTGGAGAGCAGCCTTGCTTGTATGCCCATTTTCAGGGCAAGTGACAAGCTAATAATGCACCAGGAGCATCCAGAGTCCACTAGTACTTTCAAATCTACCTGTGCCCCCATCTTAGGGATTATAGGTTTGGCAGATAGTGAAAAAGGTGGAACATGTCGACTCACCATCGGGTCATTCTCTCCTTCGTCATCGCTGTTGTAGGAGGGTAGAGTGGCGGCAGGTCCGGCTTGGGTTTCGGCACTCTCCTGCGTGGGGGACGTGACTTGAGCAACGGGTTCCTGCACAATCCAGTTGGATTTCTCTTTCGCTGGCTGCTGGGCTGGTTTCTTTCTCGCTGGTGGTCCCATTCTATTCTGCTGTTGAGGGTAAGGGACTGGGCAACTCGCTGTTTGATGTCCCTGTTGTCCACATCTGAAGCACTTGATCGGTGGGCCTGCAGGTGGCCTGGGATTTTCAGTAGCTGCGGCGGTTGAAGGCTTTCGGGGGGGCTGCCATTTGGGTTGATCTGGCCTTGGCTCGGCTTCTAGTGGAGGTGGCTTCTTATAGTGGGCAAGCTGGATGTCCAGTCTTACTGCTGCCTGGTACCATTCTTGGAACTGATTAGGGACTGCTCGATAGACACAAGCCTGGGAGAGGTGGTCGTCTAGTCCCTCCTTGAAGTGATGGACTAGTGATTGCTTGGGCTACCTCTCTATTTGGCCGGCTATCTTGCGAAACTCTCGTATGTATTCCAGTGCAGGCCTGCCGACTTGTCTTATCTTGTGGACTTGCTCCTCTGCTTTGAGGGTGATGGATGGGTCCTCGAACCTTGCTCTCAGTCCTAGGAGGAAGAGATGGGGGTCCCCCAACTCAGGTGCTTCCTCGTTGTATAAATTGTTCAGCCACTCAGATGCTTCCCCTTCCAAGCTGGACGCAACCACGTCGACCAAAGCAGCTGGGTTCGGGTAGAAATCGGCACAGCGGTTCAAGTGAGAATGCACCTGGTTGAGGAAAAAGATCAGCTTCTCCAGGTCTCCATCAAAGGTTGCTCTAAGAGGTGGTGCCATCAGTGGTTGCTGCGCCCCCTAGGGAGCCTGCATTCCCGGTGGTTGCTGGCCTCCCCACTGTGGATGTTGCACCCCCAACGGTTGCTGGCCTCCCCATAGCGGCTGCTGCATTCCCAGTTGCTGCAGGCCTCCCAGCGGTTGTTGCATGTTCAGGGGTTGTTGCCACCCCATGGCTGTTGCTGTATTGCTGGCGGCTGTGGCATCCCCAATTGCTGTATGACTGCCAATGGTCTCAGCGGCTGCTGAAATGGCACCCCCAGTTGCTGCGGGCCTCCCAGTGGTTGCTGCATGTGCGGAAGCTGTTGCCACCCCCACTGCTGCTGACCTGCAGGCGACTGTGGCATCCCCAATTGTCGTAGGCCCCCCTGCAGCCCTGGAGGTGGTTGTTGCTGGATCCTCATTAGTTGCGGATCCCTCAGTGGTTGCTGCATGTTCAGAGATGGCGGCCAGCCCCACTGCTGCTGTACTCCCAGCAGTTGCTGACCCCCTGGCAGCTGTATCATCCCTGGTTGCTGCAAGGCCCCCTTCTGCTGCTGCACATTCGGGGGCTGCGGCCACCCCCAGTTCAGTTGCTGCATCGCCAGCGACTGCTGGCCTCCCATCTGTGGGACATCCCCCATTGCTGTATGGGCCCCAGGCTGGGTGGCCGGTAAGCGCGTCGATCCGGGCTTCGGCTGTCCTGGTGATGGCTCAGGCTCTTATCTCGCCGGCGGTGATCTGGGCTTTTGGAAGGGCGACGACTGGAGCTGTCTCTCCCCATGGGGCTGAAGGCCATGGTAAATGGCTTCGAGGATGGGGAAGCTGCTTGACCTGCACAGGTGGGACTGGGACTTCCCCTTGGCATGAGTTGGTGGCTGCCTTGCCAATCGCTCGGGTATGGAGAACGGGAGGGTTGTTCTCCACTTTTCATTTCTAGCTCCTCAAATCTTTCCACCAACTTCTCCACTGATTGACTACAGACTGTGGACAGGTACTTCCACTCACCCGAGTCCTCGGTGGTAGTCAATTTTGTAGTTCTCCACCAGTCCAGGGAGCGCGACTTGTGGGAAGCCCCTCCTTGCAGCTTGACCTCGTCCGCCTTCAAAGCACTTGATTGTGTAAAGGCTGTCTCAAGGTGTCTAGAGTCTCCACTGGGTAAGGTCCATTCCGATGACCAGATCAGCTGTCCTCGCAGCTTGGGTCTTGCCCCCATCTGAGAGACCTGAAAAAGTTCCTTCTCCACCAGCGCGCTGGCCTGCACTCCCTCCTCTGAGGGAGCAACCACTGCCAGGTTGCTGGTTTCAGACGCTCCTTCCTTTTCCATGTTGAGATCTTCCCCGAATCTTTGTCGGTCTATCCCTCAATTCTAGGGACAGCGACTGGGGCTCGGGACCCCAAGATAGTTAGGTAAAAATTGGAGTTTTTGGTTTAATGTCATGGTTCCGACAGATGAAACTCTTCAAAAGAACTTCGAGGTATTGTTTACCTTAAATAATCTTTTATTCGAGAAACAAAGTATCGGCACTACATAGTTGAAACCAAAAACTAAATTCCCCTCCCCTGGATACAAAGTAACAAAGCACAATTCCCTTCTCCAATAAACAGTCATAAATCACATTTCTCAATTAGCTTGAAGTGCGGGCTTTCTCCCCAGCTCTCCAGCCCACCAAAATTCTATCAATGCTGGCCCAATAACCTTGGGTTCCCACGGCTGAGTTATTATTGTTATGACTAGCTGGACTCTCATCCACATTCCCCCTCCCAGCTTCAATTAACTCTAAAAGCAATAGAGAAAAATGACTGCATTTCCATCTGTTGTCAAAGCAAGAACATCTGATGTTAGCAGCATTGACAATAAGTAGCCAACAAAACTGGGTTATTCCTGCAACTTAATCCTTGAAGAAAATATCCCATAGTGTAATGTTTTGCATGCATATTTAGTATTTATTTTTATTTATTAAATTGTCGTCCATCTCATTCTGCAAAGTGACTGCTTAGTATGCCTCACTGAGTTCACTGATTTTGCTCGATGAGTAAAGAATTGGGGTCTTGGGTTAAGTCATGTGTTTTTCAATATTTTTGTTTTGGAAGATGTTTACAATACTTCTATGAGAGGAAAAAAGAGACAGAGAGAGTCACTTTCTACAGCCATGAGATATAACCGCTATAATCGTTTATATCTCTCAGTGGCTGCAATATGGGATCCACAATCTACTTTAAAATATTGTTGTGTAGTGTACTGAAGCAAAATATGCAAAATAGTTTGAAAGTGCAATATAACTTCTACACATTGTTACTATGTGAAAATTTTGCAAGAGAGATTCAATGTTTTTTCTTCCTGAATTCCATCTGTCAAAAATACTCCACAATAAAAAAATAAAGCAAGCAAATAAAAACCATAAAACAATAAAAGAAGCCATTTGGATATCAAAATGAGAAAGGGATGATGAATTACTTTTGTTCATTCCACTACCTTAGGTTTTTCTAGAGAAAAACTTTTGATATTTTTGTTAGCATTCTTACCTAGAGAGCATGCCCAGAGGTGTAACATTAAGTGATCCCATCAGCATTGCCAAGGCCATTCCTGGGGCCTCACGTTCTATTACTTCTTTAGTAGCCTGTAATCAAAGATTAAACAGTAGACTGAGTGAAAACTAGAAAAATAAAATATAAAGCTAAATAAAATTTCACCATCTCTTTCCTAAAACCAGTACAACATGGGATTTGAATGTGAATCAATTTGGGCATAAAATAATTATATACTTATCTCATTAAAATTAGCTTATGCCCATATATTCTGCTACAATGTCTGAAACTTGTTCTGTATCAAAAACTGCATCTTTCAGTCACTGACCACAATAGTTTTTCATCTATAAATATTATATTATTACTTTTGCCTGTTCCTTTAGATTTCTCCTGGAAATCCAAATATGCTGAACAGTTCAGAAAATTATTAGAAAGGATTGGCTCATATAGTCCTTTAAAATAGAGATTATTATTTTCTTTTCATGGAAGATTTATATTTTCTGTCCCTTTCTGTTGATTCATGATATAAGAGATCTCCTTCTAATTGGAAGGCATTTGTATACTGAGGCAATCTTTGAGATTAAAATGGTAGCCAAATTTCAATTATATGATGCTATAATTTTAAAAAAAGGAAAACCTAATTTAAAATGAAACTTGTATGTAATATAAATATATTTAAACAAAGTATACAATTATAATCTTAAAGTTGAATCCCTGGTTTTCAAAGAAATGAACAATTCCTTACAAAATACATGGATGACTCTTATAGTATGAGCTAATGTGAAGAGAAATAAAATTAGAGAATTACATAAGATTAGGCAGGAGGAAGAAGAGGAATTTTAAGTTGGGAAATTCCTTCCTATGTAGATGATCTATATTTGTAGAAGCTTAGTTTTACTCCTATATTCAGGTTCTTTTGCCCTGGCTTTCATGACCATCTATTGATCATTAGAAGTGTTACTAGATGGACAAAGAAAAAGAAAACACCTAATTTTTTGTAGGATCAGATGATCTAATGTATAGCTTAATTCTCCCTTTTTTTCTGCCAGGTTTCCTAGAACACTTTTAAAGGAAAGGAAGTCTGAAATTCAGGTAACTGGAAAAATGTACCAGCTACCACAAATCATAATCAAGAACAAAACTACTAGCTGAAAACATTTGTTGATGACATAGCAGCTAAAATTTAATATATGGATCTCGTGGCCCATTTTTAGCTATTATCCTATACACCTTGGTCCCATATCTTAAATTCCACATCATTTATGCCCCTAAAGCCTTCAGGCAGGCTTTAATGAGAATGCAGTAAGGTGGATAATTGGATAATTCTGGTCCCAACCCTAAACCATTTTCTTCCCACACAGCAATATTTCCACTCCCATTACTTTCACTTTTTCTGCATTCATTAGGTGGAGAAAACCATGTTATTTAGATTCTGTTTTATAACGAAGAAAAAAAACATTTTTTTCTTTTTCTGGTTTTTTTTCCAGCAAGCTTCCTCATTATTCCATCTTTCAACATATAAGAATACCATGTCAGAATTCTAAGAACTGGACCAACATTGCTTGATCTAATTAATTATTGACAAATATATGAACCACTTTAGGGACAATAACGGAACTTTATTAACTTAATAAAATATGCCTATATAAAAATTATATGAAGAACAAAAAAAATAATGAGAAAAAATGAATTTTAAAGTAATGAATAAATTCAGATAAGAATTCATTTGCCACAAATGAATGATCAAACTAGATTCGTATGTATGTATGTGTGTGTGTGTGTGTGTGTGTGTGTGTGTATAACAAATTAAAGAAGCTGTGTTTGTGTGGGAATGCTAGCATTAGGATAAATGTCTCCTTTTGTCCCACTTTCCCAAATTAAATTCGCTCCCACTTTGAATTTGTTGTTTATCTCTTGAAGGAAATTTATAGATCGCAAATAGTACTGGTATATATATATTTTGCATAGAAGGTATGAAATGAATGTATGACACTAGGTTGAAGGTGACAGTTGTGGCTGTAACTTAAAAATGAGATAAACACATATTCAGAGAGAACAAAACCAAGTCACTTGTCAAACGATGCTTTCAGAAATAGATAAGAAGGAACTAAGTGGTTAAGAGCCAGAAGAAAAAGAAAATAAATGCCATTGGAACAAATACATGAAACAAAGACTTTTAGGATCTTGGGGCACACCAGCTATTTAAGTTCTTCTAGGTCTAAATAGTTCCATAAGCCTAGTTAAGTAGGATTTAGGTAAATGAGGTGTGAATAATAATAACAGTTCTTGAAAAGAAGAGAGCCTGGGTCACTGATGTTGCTAAATCAGATAATGGTAGGATTAAGGAAAAACAGTTGGAAAAAATTATGAATATAGGGACATGCAGATCGAAATGGAATGCTTATGGAAAAAAGAAATCCGTTGTTATACCAATCATGATTGGAGCCCTCAGAGCCCTTAGATCCTTGGTTAAAACTTGAATTATTCAATTTCTGCCATCTTAAACTGTGAATCTAAAGTAAATTATTCACACATAATATCCCAGTGAGGCACAGCCCTAATGTGGTTATGGAGCATACATACTCTGAGGAGGATGACAGCTACGGTTCAACCATATTTGTCAGGGTTCATAGAGGAGCCAGACGAAAAGTATCTCTCCCATAAACAATTTACAGAAAACCATACCAGATTGGCTATTGCCTGGATCAGCAAGGACCCTGCTAGATGTTGGAGTTCCTGGACATTTGGGGACAAGTGGGCTATAAGGTGCATCATATAATATCCCCTTTATCTATTAACATTGTTGAAATGAAGATCAAAATTTATGGGTATTAAAATGTACTGAAAAAGTGAAATTCAATGGGGTGTACTAATTTTTTACATGACTGCAAAATAAACAATTCAGAAAATTTTCAGACATTGACAGAGGCTACATAGCAAGGAGCTGAGAGAAAGGAATTCAGTTTTTGTTTGTTATGAGTACTCAGAGAACCCTTTTTGGGCCAATGACATTTGCAATTTGAAAAACATGTTGTGTCACACTCAGTACGTGACTGCCATGGGATATTTGCCTATTTACCAAATGACTGACATAGTGTATATACAGTAGCTAATCACAAAATACCCATTTACAGAAAGCTAACTAAGAGCTTTAGCATGCCAGGTACTCCTTTGCGGCTGTGATTATTTTTAATTTATCAATATGTCCCTTTCCCCTCTACAGGTTGTGCAGGTCTGTGTTAGAAGCTTGTGCTTTGCCCTAGAGAATGCCCATTTTCTTTTTAAATACTTTATTAAAAACAAAGAGCCTAGTGAAGGGCAAGAGAGATAAATACAAAAGTACAGCATAGACGAAAATGAAACTAAATCTAATATATGTCTCTGAAAACCAGATGCAAAGGAATATAAGATTAGGCCCTACTTGTGCACTATTCAAAGAAACCAGCATATTCAAAGAAACTGGATGCCTTTGGTTTGAAGTATTCCTTATATTGTTTAATTCCATTTTAAAAAAATTGTCTCAGAATTAATGGAGATTTTTTTCAGTTAAGTGATCTAAAAAAACTGGATCTATCCCTTAGACTACTGGATAAAAAAGTATTTTTCTTAGAATACTAATTAATTATAGTGAATTACTGATACAAAAATGAAATCTGAAACTATTCTTCAGCTGTTCTTAACTGAACATCAATATGAACAGGGAACAAATAAATGCTCATCAAGTATTAAAATCATCCAGCAGTTTAGTTTCAGATAGAAAAAGTTGTTTTTGAACTTGCAGAAGTAGGAATATGGCACCTGTCTTCAATGTGCCATATTCTTATATAGATAACTGCAGATATGTGCTACAAATATATCCTTCAGCTGTATCAGATATTACCAACCACATGACTTGAGAAAACGGGTAGTACCCACTTACTCACCACTTGTTCAGTAACTGTTTTAAGTTACAATGGTGCTATAACAATATTATTTGAATAAAATAAAGATTAAGATTGTTAGAAGTAAAAGGAAGAAATATAAAGTTGGTTTATTTGATCAAGGTTAAAATAGATATGTTATTTCTGGTACCCCTTAATGGGCTTTTGCTGAAACCAGGACTGAAATGACTATGTTTATAGATAAGAGATGGGTATGGGTATGGGAAGAAGAGATCTGAAAACTGAAATAATACAGAATGCAATATTCTGCTGACACAGAAAGGATCCTAATTAATGCATAGATCTAGCCTCCAAAGTATTTAGCACTTATAAGTCTATAAATGTATAGATGTATAATTATAATTTGTCTATTAAGTACCAATTTATGTCCTGGATTTATTGTATATCCTACATTCCTAATACCTCTTTTGCAATTACTAATTAATTTATTTTCTATTTTTATCACACATAGTTAACAAAACAATTCTTAAATTAAAAAAAGGTAAAACAAAACAAAAAGAAAAAGAAAAACCCAATCTCCAACAAAGAAACAGAAAAGAGGTGGAACCCTTGATAAATGATAAATACAGCATAATATAATAAATACAAAATATTATTGTAAAGTATCAAAAGATCTCTGCCATAGTAACACTTATTGCTACATCCATAGATTAGTAGAAAATATTCCAAATAAATAGATCACCATTTATGACAACCATTCCTTAACATCTGAAATAATATGTATAATTTCTCAATAAGATTCTTTTAGTCACCCCCCAATAACCAAAATCTATCCCAATGAAAAACTATCATTTCCAAGATAAATGAGGCATAACACCTAAAAGAATGTGTAGCTTGTACACTTCTTGTTTATATAGGCAGTCCTCAGTTAATTACAATAATTGACATTGGGACTAAGCAAAGCAGCTGTAAAGCATGACCGTGCCAATTTACAGCAGCAGTTTTGGAAGCTGCAGTTGTTAGGTGAATCTTGTGTGGTGATTAGGTACGATGTCACATGACTGTCATTTGCAACCTCCTGCTGGCTTCCCCACTGACTTTGGTTGCTGGAAGCTGGCACTGAAAGTCACAAATGATAATAATGTGGCCACGAGATGCTGAGAATATTATAATTGCGAATCAGTTACAAAGCACCCCAATCGCGGTGAGGT